AAAAAAAAAATGTTAACTTAGAAAATATATGGTAGTGTTTTTACGTTTTTTCTGGTTGTTTGCTTATTTGGTTATCTAAACTAAAAATTTACATTGTTTATGGTATTTCAGAAGAGATTAGATATGAATTATGAAGGTGGTGCAAATACCACAGAGATCGATGTTGCCAAAAAGGTTGAAACACCGTCAACACCAGTGAAAGTAATACCTCGGGAACGTGCCGCTTTCAGGGAGAAACAGTTTAAAGTTCGCTGCTCCCTACTGACGTAAGTATTATGACCTTGGCACTTCGACGACTACTCACTGGACAGTATCGGCATACAAATTCTTTATTATTTGTTCAATGATGATTTTAACCAATTCTTTACAGAACTGAGTAATAATAGTGCTCCACAGAGCAGAAAATATGTTACAATAAAATTTTTCTCTGGATAAATTAACTTTTAGAAAGCCAAGGATTTTGGAGGGTTTTTTCTAATCTTTTCAAAAATTACAAATTTAGGAAATATTTCGAACAGGCAGACGATGGTAGTATACCGGTGGCTCCAATTCGGAACATTTTTGTTGCTGGTTTTGTATTGCTGTTCATGTATGCAGTTACCAGAGATGTTGTTTACAAGAACAGGTAAGAAGTGAAAAATTTGATCAGTTTGTTAAGCGTATGAACATCAGTTTATAGTTTCTAAAGATTTCTGACAACAAAAATACAATGTCAGAGTATGGTTTCTTTTTTCTGTCTAATGAACGTACGTACAAATTTCTAAATTGGTTTGTCAGTAATCCATTTAAATCGTTCAAAGTACTTTTAGTCCATTTCATCATCTATGGCTTATCTACTGGAACTTTGCTCATTTACCACAGACATTACTGTTTTGGTTTTTCATGGCTCTTAGCTCCTTTATTCCATATTTCGCATTAAAACAGTGGAGTCAAATACCGGCAGAACAAGTACAATGACAATTTTGTTTTACGTCATTTTTTATAAAAACAAAAAGTCCTGGTAGCAAAAAATTTGGAATCTTTATTAGACGCTGTATGCAAGCTAAAAAAACAAGTACTTACAATAGATTTAGTTAATGAACGGCAGTTTCTTTTAGGTATCAAAAATGGTTGGATTTTTGCTAATCATACTTTACGTATTCTACATTTTCCTTCTGTTTTATATTCCGCTTAGATTTTTATTTTGGATGGACTTGAGTGTTGCATGTTCCTTCATCATCACTTGCGAAAATGTTAGTTTTTTTTGCTGTCACCGAAAAGTAAATGTAACAGGTGTTATTGAATGTTTTTCGTACATTCTAACAACAAACTTGAATCTATTCTTCACTAAATTTTTGAATTTTTAATTTTATTTCTTATATTACTGTTTTGGGTTTTTTTATTAAATTTCTCTTCTTATAAACTGGTCTTACTTCACTTTTTTGTTGAGTGCTGTAGTCTTTTTAAAACGGAATTAAAGTTTAGACGCGAATTCTGATGAAAGTACATTCGTATATTCGTGAAATTGTTCCAAGGGTTTTGCGAATAAAAAAAGCACTGGTCAACGATAACAGTGAAACAAAGGTTATTAATGGATTTTATTATTATACATATTTGGTAGTCATCTTAAATAGGAGCTAAAACAGTTGTTAAAGGTGTACCAGAATTTGTTCGATAAATATATTTCGAGTGTCTTTTTTTTTGATAAAGAAAGCTGGGAGGAATGAAGGTGTAATGTTGTTTTGAACGGCAGTGATAGAAGGAAGTGTTATGTTTTTGTGAAAAGTTTAAGGTTTATGGAAGCATTGATTGTCGAAAAAACGATATTATTGGTGAAACTATATTGGAAGTTTTTTTTCGAAAATAGAAACTAAAAAGACTAGCTGCAAAAATTGACGGAAATAAAGGTGGCAATGACTTTGATAGTTGGAGTTATCTAAAGATAAACTGCTGTGATGATATTTTAGTCTGAACCAGTTCCAGCCTATCCAACAATCGGTTTATTTATCTATTTCTTTTTTTGTCCAAGTTTTATCTACGCCGATGAATATGCCAGGTTAGTCAATGCTAAAAATGTTACTTATTTTTTAGTAGAGCTAAAAATAAAATTGCAGTTTTATTTTTACTCTGATATTTCCAAAATATTGATGTATTTGTTCTTTTTTTTTTCAGAACACCGACTCGATCGTACAAAAAAGTTGTCAAATATTTTCTGCAAGCAGTTTTCATGATATATTGCACAAATCTTGTCTTTACTCAGGTATCCAGTTGTTTTTTTTTGTGTGTTTCAATTAAATATACTTTTTTTGCTTAAACATTTTTACATTGTTGAGAGAAAGTTGTTGAGCAACAAAACAACTTCACAAAATGCAAAAAAAAAAAAAAATTTTTTTTGCAAAAATGTAGTATAAAGCTTGGAGTGCATATAGCAAAAAAAAATTTCTAATATTTGTATGTTTAGATTGTACATTCTCAATTTGTGCCAATTAATTATGCACAAATTACTGTTGGTGAAATATTGGCAACCATCTATCCGGCAATATTACCGGCAATGTCATGCTTAATTTTGCTCTTCTATGGACTGCTACACTGTTGGCTGAATGCATTTGCTGAACTGTTGCAATTTGGTGATCGAGAATATTATTTGGTGATGTTTTTTTAAACTATACAATACGCTGATTAAATGGTATTAAATGGCATGCTTGATGGTAATTTAACTAATAGGTTATTTTGAGACGTAAGGAGTGAGTACATGAGATCGATGGTTTCATATGTTTAGATGTGTTGTAGTCTGATGTGTATCAGACATCACAATAACTTGTAGATGTTTTACAGGACTGGTGGAACTCAAGAAGTATGGCAGAATATTATCGAAAATGGAATATGGTGGTACACGAATGGCTTTATGCATATGTCTACAGAGATGTTGCTTTGGTTTGTACTTTATTTATTTTTATAGTTGTAAATAAGAAATAACACTCAAAAATTGTTTATTTTAACTCTATCATACATGAGGATTGAATAAAACAGCAAATAATAATTAATTTTCTGCTGTTCAAACAAAATTGATAGGGAAAACTCGTGGTACCAAATATTCTGAAAATAAACTTTTGTGAAAATATAAACACAAATTTTTTTTTGACTGAAACTGATACTTAAGCATTCAATAAGTTTTACAAGTAATAACAACACCAAAGTTTTTCTCAGATTTATATTTATCAGTAAAATACTCTGTGAATGTTTACTGCATATATTTGACAGCTATATACGGTTAAAATTTGATACAGTTGAAGTCTTTTTTGTAATACAAAGATACGTTCAAAAATTTATTTTGTCTTAAGAACACGGCCTGTAAGTGTGTATTTTGCAATTGTTTTTAATATGTCAAGAACCAGTGATTGAGTAGTTTTGATCTTCAAAGCTTTAATCATTTGATCTTTTCCCTATTTTTTCTTCTTTTTTTTTTATTCATATAACTGTATCAGAAGTTTCAAAAAAAGGAATTAGAAAAAAATTGATTGCTAATTTTTTCTGCAGCTAACTGGTAGCCAGAGTGGTACAATGATTTCCCAAATTTGTGTCTTCTTCTTATCATCAGTATTCCATGAATATTGGTTTGGAGTTTCACTTCGATTCTTCTATCCCGTTATGTTTATCCTTTACTTTGTTTTTGGAGGTCAGTTATACCATTCACGTTATTGACAAGTTTTTTTTTTCTTTGTAAGATAAAATTATTCTTTTGTGAAATACTGTCTTTATATTTTTTACTGATTTATGTATAAAAATTTTAATTTAAAGAAGTTACTTCTTTTATTATC